AAAAAATAAAATTAAAATAAGTTTATAGCCAAAATAATTAAAGCCCGTACACTACATCAGATTTTAATCAGATTGATCACTCCCACTGATTATAAAAAAAAAACTCAAACTAGGCAACAATGAGTCAGGTGGCGCCTGATGATACCACACTACACCGCATGTACTGGTAATGTGGGACCTAGTGCCGGAGTGATTTTCTATATGATGTATAGCAAATGTTTCAAATGAAATATATTGAAATCAGCAGATTTAATGCTATATTACGTATGCAGAAAACTAATCATGTTGATTAGAAAATTGGTTCCATACACTTTAAATATTCGTAAGTACTTTGACACATTGTCTCTGGAGCTTGTTTGCTACACTCCTCATTTCCATTACAATGATTGTGTGTACTTTGACGTTGTACCGCCCGACCGGAAGATGTGTACGACCCTTGCATTGTGCTAAAACGTAAGTGTTAAAATTGGCTGCAATCTTTCCATGAACTCTGATAAGTCCTACAAAAGATGTAAAAAAAAATTGTGGATAAGATAGTCACACATTTAATATATTGACGTTCATTACGCGACAAACTACGAATGTGCATTCGAACCCTGACTAAAACAGATTGTTTTAGATGTGTAATCTAATGTCTGCCGTTCATGTGCTGGTGGCGAATAAATGAACATACATCTGTCAAACACGGTGTGAAATCGTGAAAATGCCCTGCAAAAGACGAAAAATAGTTGTTAAACAAGATAGTCAAGCATTCGTTGTGCATTTAATATATTAACATTAGATATGAACACGTATCGAATATAATTTAAACCAGGGCCGGATCGACCAAACTGTTTTGGGGCCGGAACGTCCAAACCAGGGCCGGAACGTCTTTTTTTTACCAGGGCCGCAACAAACCAGGGCCGGATCGTCTAGAAATCATATTGACTCACGGTAATTAGAGAATTATGGATTTTCTATAATAATGACTTTTCCATAATTTATTGTTACAACTGTCATTTAAAAACATTTTCTTTTTAAAATAATGTTGAATATTGTTTGCAAATTTAAAGTTTAAATGATATTGGTTTTCTCATGAAAAAACATGTTGAGTCTTTGTTTATTGGGTATGAACTAGACTATAAAATAATACCCCAGTCAATTGTATATTACTTGTAACAACTTGAAGACCATGGAATTACGAAGCATGTACAAATGCAGCAAATGAGTACCTATCACGTTTCTGTTTTCAAGGAGAAGGGAGAATTTTTTTTTCAGAACTACTATACTTGAAATTTCAATTCAGGGGTTATTTCCCAGAAATTTAGAGTATATTTTCATGTGTTTTCATCCACATTTTCTAATGGATTGTATAACAAAGCTGTGTACATGTATGACGAAAAATTCTCGGACAAACAGGCATACTGTGCTTGCTCCATGGGAAGTGCATCTCCAATAGGAGCACATATAAACTAAAATTTGCATTTACACATGTATTGAATAAAGTCATTCAAATACCGGTATTACTAATTTTGACCACAGAAATACTTCTGTAGTTTAGCTAGTAATATAACTGTAGAACAAATATGGTACATCACAGTACGTGTGTATACCAAGATAGCTATAAATTTCATTTCTAACTCTTTCTTGATCAGGCTCTTGTCACACTTTTCAACTTCCCTGTGGAAGTCTGTAGGGTGTTCATGTACTATAATTTTAACAGTAACGTGTGGTGAAACCCATCAATGAAGAATAAGTTGCTAATTTACATTTCTATAAACTAAGTTTGTATATTAAAATCTTTGTACATGTATTTGAACACGTACATTTGTTCAACAATGTTGTGATCCAAAATGAACACAATTTAAGTGAGAGTATCATCATTAACATTTTGTTGTTCATTGTGCAATACCTGGATGTTCTGGGATCAAGAATTTGTGTGATTGGGTACTTGATAAACTCAATATATACATTGATAAATTTAATATGAACTAATATTTTTGTATTGCAGGAACAAAAAGAAAGGAAGAGACTTTCACTGGAGACCAAGAAATGTTTACAAACATTGTCAAATATTGATGAACTTTTTAAAAATCTTGAGAGAGTCTTTGAGATTGCTCAAGTTACGAGAATTCTGATTCTATTTGGATCGACTGCTGTGAGTCCCAAAGAAATCTATATACTCAACTTGAATAGATTACATCACCATGATGCTGTTAGTCGCGTTAACACAAAGGCAGGTGTACAAAGTCTCATGAGAACCCTGATTACCAATGGACCTCTGTCGGAAGTAGACACCCTTGTACCAACCAGTACTATTGTTCTACTGGAAGCTCACCGTGATAGCGCCTTGTCATGGTTTCGACCCAAAGTAACATATAAATTACCAATTCGAGGAAAACGTTTTGAAATACACTTCTCAACATGCTCAGAATTCAATTCTAAAGAAGGTGGCCATAATGAAGACAGTAACTTGATATGGTATCAGTCGCCATGTTCTATCAAGGGATTACAGATGAAAACAAAACCAGTTGCTTCAACAAGTTGTTTTTGAAAATACATAGTGGCCTGTCTATGTTTTTATTAATCAAGAATGCTACTTTTGCTGGACTTAGTACTCGTTTTAACCGAATGGAATACTTTTTAACTAGATTTTAATACACCGGTAGAGAAGTTAGTAAATAGGGAATATACTCTGTATCAGAGAAGTCATTTTTTGAAACTCTGTAACACTAGATAGTTCTACAGCATTTGAGTTTAAGCTACAGTACCCCAGGGCCTAGAAAAATGCCAATACAGTTGTACAGCAACAAGGGTAGAGCATCATAATTTTGGGTGAACAGTAGACATTTTAGATGAGATGTGGTCACAGTGGAACAATATGATGTAAAAGGTTATGACCTCCTTCTGTCCTAAACCCGTGTAATTTAAGGAAATGTATGCCTTTACCTGAACTTGTGTCATCAAGCACATTACATGAATCTGTTCACCTGCATGCTCGAAGCTGTACATTTTTACCGAGAATGGGGCTTGATTCAAATGTAGTCAGAACTTTACGGATAGTGGGGTCAGAACCTCTTGAAAGTGAGCAGTTATATTTTGAGGTGGATTTGGTAGATATGAAGTTTATTGTAGTGTGAGAGAAAAGTTAGTATTTAAAAATGAAAGATGAATAGTTGGTACATTTTTTGTTTCGTTGTCATCAGATGAGTGGGAGTGACCAGATAGATGCCTGGATTTTGTACATTTCATGTAAGCGGTATTCTTTAGTCTTTTTCAAAATTACTTTTATTAGTTTAAAAGAGTGTTGTTGTTTTGGATAAACACTACAATATATTTATTTATGTTATCCTTTTTAAAAACAAAAACTTCTCCAAAAAACCATATATGTGATGCGTCATCAGACTTGTGATAGGTTTTGGTCAGAATTAATAATGTAAGGCAACTATTTGTAATTGTGGATAAAAGTCAATGCTGCAGTGGTTTTAGTGTGTGTATGATTGCATTATGAAATGTAACTGAAGGAGAACTACAAAGAATTATTGATAGGCCAACATAAGGAGGCTGTGTGCATGGTTGGTATTCATGAAAAATGTCTTTGACAAAATGACATCCATCATGTATAAACAACTCTTTGTAAGTTGTCAAAGGGAGCTAATTTCACTATTATTCACACTAGTCTGATGCATTATAGGGGTACCAACATGCACTGACAATGTAGAGATTTTATTAAAGTATTGAAAAGTATAACTTAATGATGATCTAGATATCATTTTTGATCATGTCTTGTTGGTGCAATCAACTATGCAAAACTAAAACCA